AATTGACCACGTAAAAATGATCGCAATGAGAGCAAAAATTGTGGATCTTTCAATTTTTCCATTGCTGCGGTAGAAAGTTGGTGTGATTTATGTTCTTTAATATTTTGCGGAGCTTCCTGAGACGAAACAACTGGTGCCGATTGTACAGCGTTAACCCCAGCAGTAACTGTCGGCTCCGAACTAACTGACCCGGATTTCTGGACTAGATGTATTGTAGTGCCATCGTTTATACCATATTCCAACAAAGTCTTGTTGTCTACCAATGCTTTCCCTTTCAGTATCAATCTTTGGTTTACGGGAGAAATTAAAACAAGTTGCCATAATCTCTCCTTTAAATTAAGAATAGTTTCCGAATTACTTAATTGAACTGTATGTGTTTGACCACCCTTTAATGATTTTACATGGACTTGGATTGGTATGCCTATTCCTAAAAATATATGCATTTAAAAATATATCATTAAGTTGCTTTTTTACCCTCACAATTAACAAGATTTCGTGTGTTACCTTTAGAAGATTCAAAAGCCTCGGGCGTTTCTTGTGGCTTTTGTTTTCCTGTTGATTTATTCTTATTACTATGCGAAAGTGTAGACTAAAAGTTCAATGCAAGTGTTTAATCTGAAGGTTAAAAATTACTTTTTTATAAGATCTCAATCAATCCAAAGCTTGTTCAGCCACACTCACCCTTACAGGTGGTCTTGGTCGTGTTTGGGCGGGTGGAGCAAAGTCTTGCGGATATTTTACAGGCCGTGTACTCAAGTTACTGAGAAACTCAGTCGCAAAGCTTGTTTCGTCGACCAAACTCATTTTTGTTCACCAAAATTCTCCTGTTACGAAATTTACTCTTTTATATATGGGGAATGCCTCAAATTGATTGGACCGTTTAATCGGCCTTAATTTGGACTAACATTAATTAGGGAATTTTGATTTTTTTCTATTTTGATCTTGTAAAAGTCGTATAATTTCTTTAGCGTTAACGTTAATAAAGGTTCTTTTCACTAAGTAAACAACAATATCAATATCTATATTTGGTTTTTAGCAGCCAATTTGAAGTCCTCTCCGAAATAACAATTACATATAAAGTTTTTTAAAGTGGCTGTGGTATTTAAAAATAAGGCTGTTATGTTAATCTTTGCACATGAATCCGAGCAAATTGTTGAAAACATTTGCATGATTCGCATGAGAATAATTATCGTTGTTTACTATCACCAAGAATTAATCGCGTTTATAAAATTCTAAATATTTTTATAGTATGTAGGCAACAATTAAGAATAAAAACTGGTTAGTAAATTTTATTTATATTTATCGGTATAAAAAATAGTGAACTTTAATAATAGAAATTTATCGGAAGTTAATATAGTTTCCTAGAGGGTGGGAATGCAACTTACAATGAAAGTTTTTTAATTAAGTAAATTTCCCTTGAAGTTCTAACCATAGGTACAGTCCGGCTTTAATTATTAAAATCGGTTTACTAGGTCGCGTTATTGGCATTTTCTCCTTCATGACTATATTACCGGAAACTTACGATGAAATTTATACCTTTCAACTGCGATCTAACATTTAAAGCTTTTTTTTTAATATAGTATATATTTTGAATACAACATGTGCGTAATGCTAGAATCTACTGAACCGGTCCACTTTAGCCCATACAATTTACAAGAAAACATGTGTCATGAACAAATTCCAATTGCATATCGTAAATCTTTATACATTAGAATACCATTTTAGCTAATAAATTCAATTACAGTATACCAAACTAATAACAAAGATGATTGCAAGCAACAGCGAAAGAATGATTGAGAGTATGCAAAAAGCAGATAGTCCAAACAGCTTAGCAATGAGAAAAAAAAAACGGGACGGATGACTGAGAACAAAAGGCATAAGGAATAGTTACTTTATTCTTAGAAGATGGATTTCCAAGAGAAACACCCCATTTTCCTACCTACAAACAAGGTTGGCTGTCCATTAAAAATAAATTTATCAATGGCCAATACTATAATCCATTGGTCCATTTGTCCATTGGTTTATATTAGTCTTATTAATATTAATTTCTGCCGATTATAAAAAAATATAAGATATGTAGATTAATACGTATAAAAATTGCATAAATTTGTACGTATGCAACTAAGATTTAATACGTAGAAAAGCTAATTAATCAACTATATATCTTCTTTTAGTTTGAGAATTTACTTACCATTATATCATATCGTCAGAAATAACGCCCGAGCGTTATTTTGAGACACATTGACATTGATTAAATAAAGGTAATAATTAATTTAACCGAATGCGAATCATAATTTTTGTTATTAAAAGTCTTCGGCTAAATTAATTCTTAGCTCTATTCAAGCAATATATCTTGAAATAATGCCCGGGGTGTTATTTCTGGTACGTATAACAAATACTTAATTATACAAATTATTGTATCAATTCTTGTATCACAATCTAGTACAAGTTTAGAAAATACTGAATTATTCAGCTGAATTACTTATGATATATTTACGAACCTTTTTTTTTTAATTGTTTATTTTTAGCATACGTATTATGTATTTGCAAAATATATAATATATTTTAACTTTGTAATTATTTGAATATATAACAACAGATGTAGTTTTAGATACTTCTAAGGAATTTATCTTAAGAAAAAATAAAATAAAATTATATAGTTTAGTAATGATATCGATTAATTATAAATGAATATTTTTTGGCTTTTTTATTTAATTGTCCGAAGCGTAGCGGAGGACTTTATATGTTTACGTAAGGTGATACAAAAGTAACATTTTTGATGCACAAATAATGTGAATATCAAAAATGTAACTTCCGTATTTGGTGTCTGTCCGCATGTGTATAATAGTTACCTTTTTGATGCATCGTATTATTTTGATTTGTGTCGTATCAAAAATGAATTAGATCTTAGTTGTTATTGCGCTTCGGACACAAAATGCTGTGCATTAACCTAGTAAGTAATGCAATATTAGTCATTATATATATAAAAGCTATACGTACTTGATTTTTTATAGCTTTCCAATAGAATCAATGGATCTGGTCAATGAACCTGGGTTCATTGATACCAATGGACAAGTGTGCCAACCCTGGCCTACAAGCCATTTAACCTACATCACACGATGACAATTTATTAATAATAAATATCTGCAACTAACCCTAACCCTATGTAATGTAGATTAAGTGGCCGTAGACGAAATGTCTACGTATCGAGAAGATTAGTACATAAAAAAATATGTATCAAATTATGTTATATCAGATTAAATGCTAGATATTCTTGAATTATACAGCATGCAAATGCGATTGAAATCCCTCTTATAAAAACACTGCAAGCTTTCAGAATTAAATTTTATCAAAAGTTATAGATAAATGCATAAGAAAAAGGCAAAAATGGTTACAGAAATATTGTAAAATCTAACTTGTAAAAACCCAATATAATTCACGAGCATTCCTTAAAACACTACAAAGTTTTATATTTTAGAAGTTTCTTTGTGTAATTCTATGGTACCTCCGACATTGCATACGTTGTCAATTCATTAAATAATATTCGATGCAAAAATCCAGATCACACTTGTTTGCAAAATTATTAAAGAAGATTGAAATCAACTTTAGGTGACTTAAAATCCTTGGACTACCCGAGTGGGTTAAAAATTCCGTTTCAACTTAAATATATTTAGAATCTACTTAGATGAATTCCAAACTTAGTGAGATTCTATTTCGACGTACAACATTCACATATAGAAATTAAATTTCTAAGGGAATCAACTCCCGCAATAGTCACACTCGCATTTGTCACAATCTCACTATAGTCACCTTGATTTTTTTATCTAATCATATATACACGATATAAAATTCTTGCTTTAGTCACAATTTCACAATAGGGAGTTGATTGTAACCGAAACTATAGTCTAACAAAATCTACGTATAAATTTAGCCGTGATGCTTGGACAATTCAAATGGTACAAAATCATCCGAATTTACACTAGACACGGTAAAATTTTTACTTACGTACTATCGCTATATAAAGACATGATCTAAAAAATCTCATCATGATTCCGTATACGGAATAGATTTTTGTAATACCTATATACGTACGTATGTAATGGTAAAAAGGTAACCAATCGTTTTTCACTAACTAAAAAAGTAATCATCAATTGGCTATCAAACCGAAACCAATTTATTTTTTAGTATAAATTAACTAAAACATCTAGTTAACGTGTGTGGGAATATTACCCAAGCCCCATTGCAGCATTGAATCTAAAGGATAGATTTCAGATACACTGATTAAAAATTTCATGGTGCATTGTTAAAATATGCATTGATTAAAGACTTATTTATCGTGTTACCATAAAAAAAAAAAATGTTCACGATAAAAGCCATCAGATTTATCTCTTTTTCTTCCGTACGGTTGACGACCAAACTCCCAGTAAGTTTTACCTAACTCTAAATCGACCCCTCTATTTTCACTGCGCCAGGGGTCCGCAGTATGATTGGTGTTCGTTTGAGTACTAAAATATTTATGAATACGCGAACGTCCGTTTTTAGAACTTTAACAACCATGGCAAATCCTAAGTGTTATTTTGATGTAGTTGTTGAAAAAGGTGGCCACCAACAATCACTCGGCGTAAGTTTATATAAACAAAATAAGCATAGTGAAAATATTTTCTAAACGGTAAGGTTTCTTCTATTTATAATAATTATTTTATTTTTATAGAGAATCGTGTTTGAACTTAGGAAAGATGTCGTCCCCAAGACCGGTAAACATTATTTAAGAAATGTCACATATTAATTGATTAAGATATTATTACTTACTTGGTTTATTTTGTAATGAACAGCTGAAAATTTCCGGGCATTATGTACAGGCGAAACTGGTAAAGGCTATAAGGGCTCCATCTTTCATCGTGTCATTCCTCAATTTATGATTCAAGGTGGTGACTTTACCAAGGGTGACGGAACTGGCGGTGTATCCATTTATGGTAATAAATTCCATGATGAAAATTTCACTTTGAAGCACATCGGGCCTGGTATGCATAATTATAGGATTAATATTTCTTAATGCATTTTGACAATGATAATAATTAAATTATTTGCATATTAGGTATTCTTTCAATGGCTAATGCTGGACCCAACACTAATGGATCTCAATTCTTTATTTGCACTGTAAAGACTACCTGGTTGGATAATAAGCATGTCGTCTTTGGACATGTGGTTGAAGGTTTGTTTATTAAGCTTTTTTTTTTTTTTTTGAAACGTTATCAATATTGAATTTTCTTTCATAAATGCGTAACCTATATAGGTATGGAAGTTGTATACGAAATTGAAAAATTAGGTTCATCTAGCGGTACCATTAAGGACCAAAAAAAAGTCAGGATTGCTGATTGTGGTGAATGCTGATTGCGATGAATTGCGATAAGTTTTCGTCATGTTGGATAAAATTAGTTTTTTGTATAAAAAAAAGGAAACTGCAATAATCCGTTCTGAATAAATACAATAAATTTATAGTTTTTGATTTCTTTGAGATTATCATAATCAGTCCTTATATGTTCCTTGTATATCTTGAAATAAACTTTTCTTTTTGCTATATCTTGCGATGCAAAATATAGATATTTGTTAAACTAAAATAATTTGCCTTAGATGTATTAATAAAAAACAGCAATTAAATTACAGAACTCTGAAAAAACATTTTAATCAAATAAATATTAAAATCTATCATCACGCATTGCGATTCGTGAATTAGAAGAGAAAGGAAGTATCCGTAAAATTTCAACACATTCATCATTACCAATTTACAGTATGTGTCTACATTTTTAAATTTTTTTCATTTTGTATTCTTTTATGACTAATAAAAATTTGTCCTGGACAGCTCGTGCTACTGCTGCTATGGATAAACCAGAAGAAAAATAAATCCTAATAAATGTTATATGGGAAAAAACTGAAGGCTTTTAGATTATTATGATTATTAATGTCGATGACATTTATAAATTTTATAATCAAATATCATTGATTATTTAGCGATTGTGTTTAACAAATTCTTTTAATTGCAATCAAATAAATAAGATGTTTATTTGTTAAAATATAAAGTTTCTGAATATTAATAAGTTCACTAGAGTTGACCTCTTGTGGATATATTGAGACTTACTCATAACTACTTATGAACTTGTAGATTCGTTAGAAACACTGTAAATTGCAAAATTCATAAATCCCTAGACAGAGTCCTAAAGATTACATGAATAATATATAACACGCATTCCAATAGGACTAATTAAGAACTAATACGATCTCATTTTATTTAAAATCTGATCTATGAACTCGTTCTTAAGTAGTTTAGACTGGACTTTTAAGGATTGGTCCAGGCCAAACTTTTTTTAACATTCTTAACACTAATTTTTAATTCATAATCAAATCCTAGATTTTGGTTTATTGTTTAATGAGTGATGATAGATTTTAATATTTATTTGATTAAAATGTTTTTTCAGAGTTCTGTAATT